GATCTTTGGGGCGTTTCAACTTATGTTATCAAATCTATAATACCATCTATAGCGCCTCAATTAACTTTTATTTTTAATAAGTGCATTGTTGAAGGAACTTTTCCTGATTTAATGAAATATGGTAAAATAATCCCACTTTTCAAGGCAGGCGACAAGTCTGATCCCAGTAATTTCAGACCAATTTCTATACTACCAGCGTTAAGTAAAGTATTTGAGAAAATTATTTACAATCAACCGCTTGCACACTTTTCATTAAATAAATTACTTCACCAAAATCAGTTTGGCTTTAACAGAGGTAAATGTACCACAGACGCTAGAATTGCACTTCTGAGGCATATCTATGATGCTTGGGAGAATAAACAAGATGCTATTGGCATTTTTTGCGATCTATCAAAAGCATTCGACTGCGTTAGTCATTAAACACTGTTGGGGAAATTAGAGCATTATGGTGTGACGAAAAATTCACTTAATCTAGTAAAATCATATCTTTCAGCAGGGGCACCAGTTACTATGGGCGTACCTCAGGGATCGGTATTAGGACCATTGCTTTTTCTTATTTATATTAATGATCTTCCTCACTTTACGAAAAATTTGTGCGAGACAGTATTATTTGCAGATGACACCTCTTTACTGTTTAAAGTTGAGAGGGGTAATGATTGTTTTGACGATTTAAATAATGCTCTCGACAATGTTCTACAGTGGTTTGATTATAATAATTTAAAGCTCAATGCAAATAAAACGAAATGCATAAAGTTTGCATTACCTAGTGTGAGGCATGTCAGTACACTTATAAATGTAAATAGTGAAAAAGTTGAGTTAGTAGAATCGATAAAGTTCCTTGGTATTACACTAGATTCCCGACTGCAATGGGATCCTCATATTGATAGCTTGTCAAGTAGACTGAGTTCTGCAGCATTTGCTGTTAAGAAAATTAGACTCTTGACAAATGTTGAAACGGCAAGATTGGTATATTTTAGTTATTTTCATAGTGTAATGACGTATGGTATATCGTTGTGCGGTTCTGCGGCTGGCATTCAGGATATTTTTATTCTACAAAAGAGAGCTGTCCGTGCTATATATAATTTACGGTCTAGGGAATCTCTCAGAAATATTTTAAGAAATAAATATTGACTGTTGCCTTTCAATACATCTATAAGAATATTATGTACACAAGAAAACATTACGATTCCTTCACAAAAAAAGTAGTGTTCATAATCTTAACACAAGAAATAAAAATAAACTTGTCGTTCCAAGCTTCAGACTTCAAAAAACCAGAGGATCATTTCTGGGTAAATGTATTGCTATGTTCAATAAAGTTCCACAAAATGTAATTGACCTACCCATAAATAAACTTCAAATTCATGTAAAGAATATACTTATGAGTAAAGGCTATTATAAAGTTGATGATTATTTTAAGGATTGCAATGCATGAAATTAATAGCCATCGCTTTGTTCTATAAAGACTAATTATATGTTCAACCTATGTCCTACAGACTTTGAAAGTTGTATTTATTATTGTGATAATACATATTATTTTGGTAATGACATGATTTATGTAAATGTCATTACTTATGATAAAGAGCTGGTAAGTTTCTTTCGCTTGTTCTTCTTGTCAGCTAAAAGACGTCCTGAACAAGTGGTAGGGGAAAAAAGAAATTGGACGATTCAAAAGTGCTTGTAATAGCCTACTTGAATAAAGATATTTTCATTTCATTTCATTTCATCATTTTCTAATTTTGAAGTAAAATTTATGCTTGCTTTTCACACATACAAAAAAGCTGTTCGACTTATTTCGAGGTGGAATAATTTTGGAGTGAATTATAAAATACTTTTCCTAAAAGCTAGCGTTGATCTCCTATGCCTTATCTTGTTTGTTTGTAGAAAGTGTTTCGACCTAAGTTTTTCGATTTATTATTTTCAGTTTTTAAGCTCTCCTGAAGTGTTCAAAATACTATAACCTTGTTCTGGTGCTGCTTGCTTGGTCGAAATCCCATGTTTAAATTTTATAAAAAACCAATAATAAAAACATTTCGACTCTGTTTTACCACATGCTCCATCAACTCAATGATGCATTTTATCTAGCTCCAAAATAACTTCTCAGTCACACGGTTGCACGTTAGGCTACCACAATATAGCGAATTTCCTCAATTGATTTTGAAAGTATTCAAAGTATGAGTACCTATGAAACAACTTCGTGATATGAATCCGCACTTTTTCATTTTAATTAAAGATATAGTACATGTCCACAGGCCACGGGGTCTGCTGCACTTTCATCCCCTATTATAACACTTCTTTAAATTTACTGTTAAGGTGGTGCATAAATGATAGCAGTACTAAAAATAGTACCTACAATAAGTACACTAAAAATAACCACAATAACTTCTTTCGGAAATAAAAAAAGGCGGCATAAACATTTTCCTAGAAACATTATATTACTGGTAGAGAAATTGAATGAATCAAAAGCAGTCACTGCTATATCAGTCACAAATATTAGTGATATTATATAAATGAATGTAAAACTTATAAATCGAATAAAACAACTCATTTACATTTATGCTATAGCTACTGAAACATAATTGTCAAATGTGTTAAAACTAGATCGAAATTTATTGTAGCTGCCACTCTAGGAATTTTTCGATACCATACCGTTGGCACTGATCATAATATTTTATGGTCAGATTTATATACTTATCCATACCCAAGTATTAGTTTAATGTATATAAAGTGGCCATTCTATAACAGCTTTTACTCCTTAGAAGAAGAAACAATAATAATTTACGAGGTATTTTGAGTAAAAATAATATTAAATAATAACAGCATGTAATTTAATTCTTCACGGATAAGTGAACCTCAGACTTCAGAGTCTATTTTATTTAATTGAACTAACTACATAACAAAACGATCAAGCTCAAATCTAAATAATAACTATGCTTACTAGTATTAACAACATTCACATACCTAATAGAGTATCTTATTTAAGTTTATCAATTTTGAAGTTACTTTTAAATCTTGTATTCACAATTCACATATGAGAGTCGGTTTCACAACCGCAAACTTAAATAAGTATTTTCACCAAATTTTCTACAAGATAATTGTTAAATCGATAATATGTACAAAGGCGTGTTAATACCATATAATATACTAAGTTCTGGCAGCCCTCTGTGCTATAACAGATTGTCGCGGCCATCGAGATAATGCATCATAATCGATCACTCATTATAACTACATAAAAAAATTTACATATAAATGTATATATTACTTTCATATAAGTATAATAACGGGTGAAATATGATAGTATTTTACACGAAGATATGATAGCCGCAATATCGCTGCATAGCCAATAACAATTAATCTTCATCAAAGGTATGCTTTCTGCCAAGTCTATTTTTAATGCAATGCTAAAAATCCACAATCACACCTTAATCATAACTATTTTTTTATTTTTTTTATTAAAAAGAATGATTTTATTTAGTGCCAAATTTGTAGCCATTATTTTCAAAGGGGTTGAAGATGAAAAAGTGTTATTTACTTATATTTATTAATGCTGCTGTTAGCGAGTCAACAGCACTTTAATAACAAGTTGTTTTGACACATTTCTTATTACAAGATTACAAAACAACAAACAATGATTGTCAACCATTGATTTGTGAAGAAAGTTTTCCACAAACAATAATGGACCTTAGCGAGAAAGTATAACTGTAAAGTGCAAGTAATTGGGACACCATTATTACGCTAACATGCATATGACATTACGTTAACATAATTATAATTTAGTGTTTTGTGATCTAGTGACAAGTGTGTCAAAAAATGATATGATATTACAGAAGGAACACAATATTTTAAGTGCTGTTGTAATGATATTCACGCGTTAACATCCAGAAACGGACCCACCGCCTAACTCCATTGGCATCGGTTTGAATCAAATGCAATCAACGTCCAATACAAGTTCTAAAAGTTTTATATCTTCACACCATCTTAAGAGTTAATTTTATTAAGCAGATGCCAATTAGTTCGAAGCCAATCGAGTTACATTTTTCACGTATGCGCCATTTAAGGTTTCTGTAAAAAAACGTACGGTATAATGGCGTTTGAAAATGCCAAAGAACGATAATAGTGCCAGCGAGTAGACATCAAGTTACAATTACGTGCCATCAATATACAGTGCTCTGTTGAATATTGCTTAATGGGCTACAAAACATGATATTTGTTTATATTATTAATTCACTGAATCTTATTTAAAATACTGCATTTGGACTGTGGAACCATATTATTTACTTAATGCTATGATTTACAATTACATGCCTGTTGATACAGACACGTTTGATTGGATTGATGTATTATTTCTTATATAAATATACTGAAAAATATTTTCAATGATTTCACTATCACCCATGGGCTACCAATACAGAGTGACAATTATAATGTGTGTAATTTGAATATTATATTTATAAATAGTTTTTAGTCGAAGTTAATAATAATTTATATACATTATATTATTAAAAAGAAAAGAAGATATCTCGTGCTAATTTATTTTGTATAAATCAATTATTAACCTTAAATTATGCATATTAAAATACTTAATATTTCTCGAAATCAGGATTACAAAAATCCCTTTACTAAACTGAAATAATGGAATTTTAAACAAACAATAAATTATATTTTTAAGTTATTTACTATTACTGTGTCTACAATATAGAGAACATCTTTCGTTTTTTTTTTCAGTAAATTATAGATATATGTATACATATCAAAATTCAAGAAATCAATAATCTTTACGAATCTAACAATAAATTTAATTATACTATAAGGGAGTCAAGTTAGTTAATTAATTTCAAATTAAATTAATTACTCATCTATTGCACTATTTACATGAACACGAAGTTCCACAGTCCATTCGAATCATTAAATAGTCCATTCAACATTTATACGATAGCATTATCCGGGCACACGGAGAGCGCAGCTTCTTGCACTGCCTGCTAGTACGAGAAGCTGAACAGGTTTCAGGTAGCCACCTCTTCGCCACCAGCTTCGAACTCCAGTTTCACTTCACCGCCCAGTCCTTCCACGTCCACTTCGTTTTCGGAGGCATTAAGCATATTCAGCGTCACCTGCGTTCATTACATTTTAAGGTATTTAAGAAAGACGCTTTTGAAATGTACAGCGAGAAAAAAATGTGAAACATTTTCTCAAAACCTGCAGTAACCTTTATAGGCAATGTTTCATAAAATTATAGAATAACATTTAATTATTTAAACTATATGTAAAATTGTTCACCGTCATTCACCATTACACCAATAGCAACTTTAATTAGAAAGGATTAAATTCTTCAATACAAATCTCCTTATAAAATATTATTTACGAGGGTCAAACTGAAAGTTCTTAGAACTGGCCACTTATAAACAATATAATAAAAAAATAATTCTAAAATTTGAAAATATAACTCTTTGCCAATATTACTGAGTATATATTTCATTCATTTGTCATTTGTTTTACGATTTGGCGGCAAATTGAAAATTGTCTGTGTCACGTCATCATGAATTTAACACGAGAAAATTTTCGTGCAATGATTTTTTATGAATTTCGATGTCATTTAAGTCAACAAGAAAGTTATGATAGACTACGATTGGCCTTTCACGATGAAGCCCCATCTCGTGCGACTGTTTACAACTGGTTTAATGAGTTTAAACGTGGTCGCACTAATCTCACTGATGATTTACGTGAGGGACGGCCTTCTACGGCGACGACTGAAGATAACATCTGTGTTGTGCGGCGTATGATAGAGACTGACAAAAGAGTGACCTATCAACAGATTCGGACAAGCTTAGGCATCGGTATGAGTCAAGTGCACAAAATCCTCCACGAACATTTAGCGGTCAGGAAGCTTTGCGCCCGGTGGATACCTCATAATTTGACTGAGGCTCAAAAACTCCATCGTGTGGATTGGTGTCGTAAAATGATTGAAAGATTTAACGGAGGTGACTCAAATGCTGTGTTCGACATACTAACAGGTGACGAAAGCTGGATTTACTGTTATGATCCTAAAACCAAAAGACAATCTGCTCAGTGGGTGTTTCCTTTCGAGGAGTTGCCAACTAAAGTGAAGAGAGATCGAAGTGCGGGAAAAAAAATGGTGGCCTCGTTCTTTGGAAGGATAGGTCATTTTGCAACAATTGTGTTAGAGGATCAAAAAACAGTTTCTGCAGAATGGTACACTACCAATTGTTTGCCACTTGTCTTGGAAAAAGTTCGAGAGAAACGACCTCGCAGTAGGATCCTCCTTCACCACGACAACGCCTCGTCGCACACCGCCAAGCGAACGATCGACTATTTGGCGACATCAAACGTTGAATTACTGGGTCACCCGCCGTATAGCCCCGACCTCGCACCTTGTGATTTTTATTTATTTCCAAAAATTAAAGAAAAACTTAAAGGAAAGCGGTTTATGAATGCTGAAGAAGCGGTGGCTGCGTATCGCGATGCCATTGAAGAGACCCCTAAGGACGAGTGGGCAAAGTGCTTTTCCCAGTGGTTCCATCACATGCAGCGGTGTATTGACGTGAATGGACAATATTTTGAAAAGATATAATAAAACTAATAACTGGCTAATGTAATCAGTTTTTGATTTTCTAAGAACTTTCAGTTTGACCCTCGTATAAATAGAGCTACTTTGAGCTCTAATAATGAGGGTATTATTTATTATAAGCAAAAAATTATTTTCAATATTTTTTTTTCATAAATTGCCGTTTATTAACTTTTTAAATGCAATTATTTAATAGTCTATACCTATGTGATCAACTGATCAACAATACTAATGTCGATAATATGAAATTCGAAAGCTCGCGTAATTTAAATATACGTCTTTGATTTAGCTTATAATTACAACCACTAAATAGGTCAAATAAAATAAACAATAAAATAAAAATAACCTAATTATAGAGCACCGTATTAATTTCTCAATCAACATAGTGAAAAATTCAACAACTCTTTTAATAATTATAGGATAAGCATTGCGTTTTAACAAAATATTTGTACATCATACACATTGTTGCGAACTATTATAAATGACACATCTAGTTACCTGAATATGTTAATATTCTAGAATCTATTTCAAACTATATTTTTAGAAAAATAAGGATAATCAACTGATTTGATATTAGGTGCTATCAACGGAACATTGCACAAAACTAATATGTACAGTTTGGACGATTTGTTTAACATGTTGTATTATTCGTAATGTACAAATATTTGTGTATACATAAAAAGACAATAGTAGGTAACTACGTAAATAGTAAATATAATGTAAACTATTAATATACTACTACACATCTACTACTTCTATGTTAAAATATTTCTTGAAATACTTACAGTTCACAAGTCACTAAAATATATGGATTATTATTATGTTACTAAATAAACTCTATAAAAGCCAACTATGCTAAAATTACAGACATTAGTACCAATTTTGTTGCACAAACTAGACAAATTTTAGTTTAAATGAATTCTGTTAGCAAGTTAACTAAAATAAACTTCATATTCTGTTGATCATAATGAGACTATGTAATATGTTAAAAGAAACCGAAACAAAGATATGAAACTGTCAAGTTTAGTTTACAACCGAATTGGCACCATTATAATACTACAACAAGTAATGGAGTCTCTTGAAATTATAACTTCTATTGGATAGAGAACTTATAGAAATATTTAATTTTTAAATGCATTTTTGTATAAAGAACGTAATGGCGCAAATATAATGGTCGCTAACAATTAGAAAAAGTTCACCACTTGCATATTTTCATTTTAAGGTCCAGAAAATTAACAAAATAACCGGTATAGAGTTAGTGTGTACCGAAGGGGTGATTTTTTTTTTTATCTAGAATAATAGATTACTTAATCTTGTATAACTTCCTTATTACCGAATTGGCTGACACTAGATTACTTGTTATTATAATAACTTAGTTCTATTTTTACTGATGAATCTTCCTTTCTAGAGACAATCCTTCATAGTTTTGTAGCATATATACATAATAGGTTGTGGAAAAAGTATCTTCGCATTTTATATGAAAATCCAAAACATTTTATATTAGTTTGTTTACATTTAACTAAAGTATGCAGGTACTATTTTATTAATAACTTTTTGCCTTCTTGTATGTAAGAATATGATCCCATTGCTATAGAAATTATGAGGTTTCTGGTCAAAAAACCGCGACAAGTGATTTTGGGATTGTCCTCGCGTAATGTGAACCTGATACTGAAAAAAGAATTCTGAAGAAACCGAAACAAGCGGAAATCTGAAGGTGCAAGGTCAGGTCGATACAGCGAATGCATTAACACCTCCCAGACAAACTCTCTTAATTTTGAGTTTCAAAAGATGTGTGACCCCTAGCGTTATCATGATGAAAAACCACACGCCACGCCTTCCATTGATTAATTCTGGCCGCTTTCTCTCAACTTCTTACTTTAATTTCATCAGTTATTCGCAGTAGAGTTCAGAATCGAAGGTCCTGCGTGGCGATAACAGCTCATAATGAATAATGCCCTTTCAATCCCATCATACACACAGCATCCCCTTGTTGAGAGTTAACCCGAGTTTTGTCTGTCTGTGAAGCCTGACAGATCTTTGAAAACAACCTTTTTCGCACGTTCATGTCGTACGTGATCCACTTTTTATCACCAGTTATCAGCTTCTTCAAAAATAGTTCGGTTTCATTACGTCATAATAAGGAATCACAATTGAATACACGGTTCATTAGGCTGCTTTCAGTGAGCTCGTGAGGTACTCGAATATGCAACTTGTATACTCAGCTTATTTCAAATGCGCCGAAATTGTTTTGTGGTCAATGGCCCAGTTCTTTAGCTACGTCGTAACTACTGATATGCCGATTTTGTTACATTTTTTCAAAAATAGTATCCATTTTATCCGTATCCGGATTGACATCTAAATTTCCGGACTGATAACGCTTAAACCAAATTTATGCTTCTCTCACAGAAACTGCGCTAGGTCCGTAATCGTCACAATTTTTTACCTTTTTTGTAATAAAATTTCAAATTATATATTCAGTCATTTTGACAAAAATAAAATATTTAAAAAACCAGTGGCGTAACTACAGGGTGGCAAGTCCGCAAAATGCCAAGGGCCCCCATCTGGAAGGGGAACTCAGTCAGAGGAGATTCCTCACTCCTGACATTTATTATTACCCAATTAGTAAAACAATGGAATATCCTATGAATTTGCCACGGGCCTCAAACGGTATAGTTACGCCACTGTAAAAAACAGACATTTACCTAATTTGAATTCGGAGTTATTTAATTTGAAATTCACGTTTTTAATGATACTGAAACCATACAGATATAAATGGCATAGCTAGAAAGATTTTTAGTACAAGTTTATTATGTATGCTATATGTAAAAACACTTTTTCCGCAGCCTAATATTTAACAAAAGCATAAAACCTATGAATCAAATTCAGGCAATATTTTAAGTATTGTTTTATATAATTATTTAAAATATCATATTAACTATAGCAATACCTAATCATGCAACAGCCGAGTGCTACAAAAAATATAATAAACAAAAATAATAATTCAAACTTCACTAACGAAACACAAAGAAAAACAAAACAATATTAGAAAAAAAAACAAAATAATGAGACAATACGTAAAAGTGTAGTCTGGCGTTAGTTAGTGAAAGTTTGAACCTCGGCGTTTTTTCCTATAACCGATTGTGGGTTGAGAACGCTCAGTGTCGGGGCTACCTGTTGCGTTGGCGCGTGTGGCAGATTGGCAGTGGAGCTGCTTACCTGCCGCACTGGTATACCTGCATCCTCGAACGCCTTTTTCTTCAGAGTGGTGCGAATCTGTGAACTGGTTAACACATAACCAGTTAACCAACATTTATTTCCAATTGCTACATACAAATCATCAGCAACAAGAGACAATATTTTATATTGTGAGAATTATATTTCCTGAGCAACTCCTGATATAAGACCCAGAGTCTTACATTACAAATTCGAAATACAGTTCGTACATCATTTATTGAATTTGATCTTATCTAAGCGAAACACTGGATTCTGGTGAAAACCACAGAGGCGACCCCAATAAATAAAAAGAAACAGATCTTATAGAAATTAAAGGAAATAATACTGTTGTTTTAAAGTGGAAGAAAATATAAACACATCTATTAAACTCGCATACAGCAAATTTAAACAATCTATAAAAGGTTAAGTATATAGTGATATAGTTAAATCAGTTAATACTTACACTGTCCGATTTTTAATGTGCTGACTGAGCTTATTGAGGTCCACAGCAAAACGATGGACACAGGCTCGTAACATTTCTATTTCTTCTTCAGTCCATTTTCCACTGTAAAGAAAAAAGTTCAACTGAATTAAACATTAAATATGTTACTATCAAACTGTATAATTCAGGTGGTTGATACAATACCTAGGGAATGTATGAAAAATTATTATGCATTACAAACTTCCATGGGTAATATATGCAATGTATACCTGGGATTGTATTCAGTGGGTGCAAAGTAAATTAATGTGAAAACTATTTATTGATCTGGATTTATAATACAAAACTAAAATAAATGATTTTGTTAATTTGTATTGGAATTGATAAAACTATAAATAAACTTGCTTAAATATATTTGTAAATTTTCTTAATGATAATATTTTTTTATCAAAATAACATCACATCATATATTTTAAAGTGAAATAACATTCAGATTGCTTACTTCTGTTGTTATTATCATTATGTGTACAGTACAGTAGGGTATTTTCTTAAATACAATGACTAAAAATAATGTTATGTTTGCTTTTATTAATTACGGCTCTCAAGGCATGGCGTATTTTAAACGCACAGACGATGCACGTGTCAGGAACGCGCGTTTTCTGAGGCGTAAATGCTGAATTTTGCGTTTTTATAGAATCAAAGGGGCTAAAACGCGATACAAACGCGCATATGCACGTTTGATGCGCGCACACACTTCATCGCACCGTTCGCGTCGCAGTTGCAAAGGTATTTCAACAATGAAATACCTTTGCAACTGCGACGCGAACAAGTGCTGCGTGTCTGTATCGCTGTATCTGCTCGTATACGGGCAGTAAAAGCACGTTACATGATCACCCCGTGTGTTTAGGTTACGAGTTTGCGTTCAAATCTCGTTTGGAGCGTATACACGCATGATCTGCACGTCGACTGCGCATTTAAAGTACGCCATGTGCTTGGAGCCTTTTTTTTTCGACACTGAGTAATGCGTTACGCATACCCGCTACACCCAGCGCGGGTTTCACGGATTATGTGGGACTCCTCCTGCAGCCCTACCCCCGAAGGGGCTAGAAGCAGGGGTTTACCCACTAAAACTCAGCGATGTCCCTCGCATGAAAGGCGATGCGCGGGATCAGCCCGGAGGTCATACACCACGCGGATGTGCTTGGAGCCTTAGTCTTAGCCTTAGAACTTTAAACAATATTGGCATTGCAAGGTATAAAACGTTTTTATTTTATGTTGTGAGTGATACTCACAAAGCCAGTCCTCTGAATAAAACTCATTTCAACCTAAAAACTGTATCTTATTTTTAACCAATGACACAGTTATAATTGTATATGTTTACTTTTATTTAATGACTCTTTCAAAGGCTTTTTAATTTCTTATTTTACAGTAAATTTGCAACTAAAAATAAGCTAAACTAATTCTGACATAATTAAACACACAATTAAAATAAATTTTATTTACCTAATTTAATTTGAAATTGAATAACATGTTTAATTACAAAGAGTCTAAGCTTGGAAGGTTGCAGATGCTAGATGTCACTGAAGTCATGCATATAGCCAATAGTAAAATAAATAGATCTTGGTCTATATTTAGCAATGTTAGCTGGCTTACCTTATTATCTTACACCTGTAGATCACATGATAAGTAAGAAAGTTAGAAATCATCTTGAAAATTTGAATTTCAAAGAAGCTTTTTTATTTTTCAGGCCACAGAAATCACATAGCTGACAACTTTAGGGATTTAAATTCTGGTTTTTTTTTATATTATTAGATAATTATATTCACAACACATTTATTGCCTTCTCTCATGTCCCCCTTCCATGCTCTCATCTTTAACATACATTAACTACATGTTTTAGGGATTGTATAAAATATATATTCAGATTTCTGATAAAATATACAACAGACATAAAGCCGCTTTGAAATGACTTATCCGATGACCATTCAACTTTTAAGATATGGTGTAATGTCGGCAGCTAGAACAATGTGTAAATAAAAAAAAAAGATGTTGAAATAATACTCACCCAGGCTGCGAATCCCCCATTGGATGTAAGAGCATAGTCATTTCAGATAATTTGTTAAAAGCTGTGCCAGCCTCACGAAATATTTCGCCAACCTGAAATAACTTCTTTTATTACTCCACGCCATACACATACTCTTCTGGAGGGTGTACCATGCGTGGAACTTGACATGCCTGCCAAATTCCTATTATGGTGTTGGTAGTAGACTATACTAATGAATGTTAAATTCAACTCTTATAATTAGAATTCCAATTAAGTTGTGTGAACATTCATTGAGTTAAGTAGTGCTGGCCTCAACAGGCCTGTACCTATATCATCACAGGTTCATTTTGCAAGTTAAACAAAACACAAAGACATATGAGATCAAAGCAAATGAGATCAAAACAATTAATTTTACCGTCAAACATGATCAAGCAGCACATGATGCAAACTTAACAGTTTACGGCGTTTTAAATAGTGCTGCTGTCGTTTCTTGCTGCTGTCGTGCTTGGATAATATTGTGATGCATAAATGCTAATATAATGCACTAAACAAACAACTGCGAATTCGTAAACGGTTCACTATTGAATGATGCGTACTCACTTTAGCTGCAGAGTTATTCATTGCAAATATATCTCTTCGAGACTACTAATTTTGTGACACACAGCTAACAGCTATGATTACTTAAATGTAAATTTATTTGAGAATAAAATCTTATGCGATAAAAAAATCAGAAAGAAGCGGTATTCCAATCAAGCTCAACTACTTGTTAAATTTTATATGAAGTTAGCATGGCAAATAATGGCGGATACCATAGAGATTTTTTTATTTTATTTTTTTTGTTCTCTTTCTTACTTTTATTTTGAAATTGAAAGGCAAAGGCAATCTATATATATGCCATACAGCCAAGACAAACTTTTAAAGTAGATTCTTCTTTCAATATAATGTTTCTTTTGAATTTCTTTTTATTTAAATATTTTGAACTGTATTTTGAATATATTTGTAGAGGACAAAATAATACTGTGGATTTTTTAGAAGTTCCGGTAACGCAGGCGGGATGTTATCTGCTTTCTTGTAGATATCCAACAAATTATTGATTAAAATCATCCTTTGTAATACGAAGTGTGAACATTCAAAAATATATGATCCAAACTTTGATTGCCATAATTGCAAAATATGCATGATGGGGAGGAGATGATGCGCATTCTATGCAAGTGCTCATTAAATCGTCCATGTCCAATACGCAATCTACATATGACAGTATAAAATTTTCTGTCAACGTTTTTTCTATCAACGTATTTTCTTTTAACAGACCACGGCTTAGATATAATTGAATTTATATTATGATACCAACTTCCTTTTGATTGTAAGGTTTCTTGCCAATGTCGCTGCCATTTTTTAATCATTTTATTTTTAATTAAATGAACATAATCAGAGTATGCTATTTTAACATCTGGTATAGGCACATTATGATTTGTATTAGTAATGAATTTATACTGTCACTTACAATAATCCATTTATCATAGTAAATTTTTGGGATATATTGTAAAGCTGCCAAAATAGCAGCAGCTTCAGCCGTATAAATGCTCGCATTCTTTTGTAATTTTAACACATGGCTAGTTTTTATCTGAATATCATAAAAAGCCATAGAAACATTCTCATCGTTTTTCGCTCCGTCAGTATAAATTTGTCTATATTCAGCCCAAAAAATCAACTCATTTTATGTATACATCGTATTTACAGGATAAGTTTTTATTTACAATTATTTTCATTTCATGGTATTTGCTTATGTATTCACCGTTGTAACAAGGTAACTTAGAACTACTATATACTTTATTATCAGCTTTTAATTTTAAAACATAATATGTATATATATTTCATAAGTATGAAGGTATATTATTATTTATTAATTTAATAAAAAGTAAATTACTATGAATTCCTATAAGATTTATAAACGGCTTTTCTCTTAGAAATTCGAAACGAATAGTTAAAGGAGGTAAATTACTTTCAATTTGCATGGAATTAATCGAAGGTATGTTCATAGTAAAATAAGTCTCAAATTTTTGTTTTGTATTTTCTCGAGCTTTTCTACTAATTTAAGGTCAGATGCAAAACAAAAAAAAACATATTCGAAATGGCTACTAACTAAAGCCTTGTACAAGGTCAGTAAAATTTTTGAATCAGCACCCCACTGAGTACTTACAAGGGTTTTCGGGATATTGGTAGCTCTAATAGCTCGTTATATTATACAGTCAACAAATTCTTCCCAAATAAAGTTGTTGAAAAATTACTCCTAAAAATGTTGCTGATGATTCCAATGAAAGTCTTTGACCGTTATAGAATAGATCAAAAGTTGTATTTACATTTCATTTCCTAAAAATTACTTCTTTACTTTTATCAACATCTAGATTAAGGTAAACAAAATAAATACTCGGTCTGGAAAGTATGGTGTTTAATTTATATTGCAGTTTTGAAAGGTTGGAATCTTCTGAGTAAATAGCTAAGTCGTCTGCGAATTGTAAGTTACAAATTGTTAAATTAGGTCCCGATATCTGATTTAAGATATTTATATACAAAATATACAATTAAGGGTTTGAAATTCCCCCTTGGCATACTCCTTTGTAAGAATATCGAGGCCCTTGTAACTTATTATTAACTTTTACAAAAACTTTACGTTTAATAAGAAAATTGTATATCTAATCTAATATTTTCCGAGGAATACTTAATGATGATAAGATTTCTGTTAAAGTATGGATATTAACATTATTAAAAGCTCTGACAATTTCAATAAAATAATATAAATTTTATTTTTCGTCTTTTCTTTAATAATTTATTTTAGGCACAAAAAATATTTATGTTTTATTTAATTATCTACGCTAAAAAATGGGCTTTATAAAAATATAAACATGTTGTATGTTATTCAGAAAAAAAAAGAGTAAATTAAGAATAATTAAAATATCCCTAAATGATTGTGTATATCAGTTGTTTATATTTTACCATCCCTTACATCTTCACATGTAAAATTACATTTATGTGGAAGTATTTAACGGGTGCGTGATTCGTGCGGTATCGCATTGCACGAAAAGCCTGTAAAAAAGTTTAACCGCAGTAGTTAAAAAATTGAACCATATTATGAAAAGTCTCACTTAATTAATGTTATTGTAATTTTTTTGCTCTTTGGTAAATGTAATATTAGTTCATATTCATATTATACTTTGTACTCTTTGTATCAGTGTAGTATCTCCTTACTAGTCTGTGTATCAGTGTAAATGGTGTAAATAAAAATTTTATGAAATGAAATAGGGTCTTTTAAATAAATAATGTTTGTGTTTTTAGAGTGATGTCAAGAAAGTGATATAGAAAAGCGTTTGATATTACGTATCATTTATAATTAATGAGTACTGATAATGTTAAGTTAATATCTTTTAGACGCCACGCCTCCGTGTTGACTGCCCAGGAAATGTCCTCGTCTGTTCATATTCCTTATTCAGCTCTTCACTCTAGGAGTATTTTACCGATGCTACTCATATTTGACATAATATGCTAAAAGGGCACAATCTTTAATTTTATTTCAGCTTTGTCTTTGTTCTAAAATGGAACTGTTTCTAATTTTATCCTTGGTTTCCTTTGGACTGGCTTATGATAAAGGTGAGTTTCTTCCAACACAGAAATATGTGCATATATACACTTTGATAAAAATATACTTATAAATTTTTGATGTACCTTTTTTATATCTCCAGCATCTTTCTATGGGGCAAGCTATATATCATATCCACTCCAAGAAGCTAAAGGTGTCACAGACATCAGTTTTCGCTTTAGAACTCATTTATCTGATGCTTTATTATTACTTGCTGCTGGCAAAACTGACTACTGTATGGTAAGTGATAGCAAAATATGCTTGTCAGCTATATACCACATACTGTTTATCATTAAAAACTACCTATTAATGAACTTGTCAATATCAGGTATTTTCATTCAAATTTGATGAGCAATTCAAGTAATGTTGAAGAATCGCTCTCACAGTTTTATAATATTCATTGAAAAAACATCATATCTGTTAAGTTTATTGATAGTAGTAACCTGCAAAACCAAAATGGATATTTAGAGTGGAAAATCTTTATATTTTTCCAAAAAATATATCTTATTTTTGTACAAATTGACAGAGGAACACTTTTTTTGTTACCATGGACGTTTATAGGGATTATTTATCAAAAAACAAATAAAATTGTTTCTGCTCTGATGAACAATTTTGGTTTTATAGGTTACTATGTGTTTCTTTCCAGTGTTGATATTAATACTTATCTATTGTCATTTATTTAAAATTTAAACTATGTTGCAAAACTAGCCTTACATTTTTTCACATAGGGATAGGCTAGTTTTACAATATGATTTATTCAGATGCAAAATAGTGGATTTTGCCACCTTTGCTCTGACACCTCAATTCAAGTGAGATAAACTGATTATGATAAAAAATTTACAGTGACATGTACGTGGGCTTTTCTGCAACTCAACACTTGTGTCCTTGGATTACCCAGATGTGTAGCCTTTATCTTGAAATGTGTTTGCACAGTGACATGCATACATATTATCTTTTATATTGTTTAAAATTTTGTTGCCCTGATTATAAATTTTTTATAGATACGTTTGGAAAGTGGTAGACTGAAACTTCACATAAACCTGGGGGCAGGAGAAAGTGAACTGTCATCTGTGAAAGGGATGTCTCTAAATGATTCTCAGTGGCACCATGTTAGTATTATAAGAAGGGAGGCCAACTTGACTATGAAGGTAAGTGTCATCACTAATACTGTTACGTGTAATGGTAATATTTACTTAACCATTTAAATAAAAAATGAAAATAACTATATTTTTGATAAATTTCGCATAACGTATTTATGATCATGAACATTTTTTGTGCAACATTTTTTTTGTCTATGATTTTATAATCTTCAATATCAAATGTTCATTATATTAAAAGTCTCTCTAAACTAAGGTCTATACACGCTATTCTATAATCTACAATAGAAATTCAATAAATAAATTATTTATATTACAAATACAAAGGTGACTATGTAATAACCCAACCAGCCATCAATCTACTAGATAATATAACAACACCAGTATATATAAGTACTAATATATAAGTTAGAAATTTACTATTTATAAAAATTTTCATGTTTATTTTAATACTAGTTATGTCCAAAATATTAATTTTATTGCATTAATTGAAATTTTTCTTACACAGACATTAAAAAAAAAATAATAATAACACACATTATTGGTAAAGGAGAGTGATCTATTTACTTTAAGTTATTTGCATAAATGTGTGCTTTGGTGAAGGCAATGGTAAACAATAGGGAATTATATCTAGATTATGTATGTAAAAAATCATAGGAAAATGATGTGGGAGTTTTAGAAACTATGATTATTTAGTAATCTTTTAATGGTTATGTCATAATAATTTATACACATATAAAATCAACAAATCATATATTTTTAACACAATCACTGTATAACAGCATAAAACATTTGATTGGCAATGGCGTTATAAAAGGGATTTTTTTTGTATAAGATAAACTGAAAAATTACTATATTGATTTTAAAAATTCTTTCACCACTAAAAACACATTCACTTATAAACAGAGAGTCACATATGTGAGTAATCAATCAAATAGGGTTAACTGTGATTTTGTAACTGTCGTTGCTCATATTGGGCAGTTTGTGTACACATTCACAATTTTAAAGGGTTTTGTACTAAGAAAAACTAGCTAAGAGTTTCTTGCTGATTTTATTAAACTTTTTTCATCCTGTTTTGTTCTATATAAAATTGTCTCATTGTAAAATAGTAATAAATAATGATGTCATTTATTCTTCAGTATGCTGTGTCATAAATGTAAATAGCTAATGCAATGCAAAATAATATGTAACTAATGTAAACAATATGTAATCACAGAGAGAATGTTAAACATACTGTTACAAATATAAGGCAAGATTGGAGAGTCAGGTTAATATTTTTAATAAATATTTAAAGAACTAAAGGTGATAAACATTTGATTAATATTGAGTTAATCCATCTCCACAAGTAGCACCTGCTCAATAGTGCAACCACATTTTGTTTAGTTATAAGGTGCCTATTGTAAATAGTAAGGTACATTTATTATGTTTCCAACAGGTGGATGACAGTGTTGTTAAAAAGAAATTACCTGGGCGATTTTTCGAACTGAACATACATTTTGGAATATTCTTAGGTGGTCAAGGAGATTTCTCTGAACTCTTCTTGGGCCACATGGAGAATTTCCGTGGTTGCATGGAGGATGTAAGTTCCCAGATGAGTTCTTAAACATAAATTAAGAATGTAATAATCTTAATGGAGAACAATAATAAAGTTAAAAGAACCACAAATAAAAAGCTTGACATTCTCTTTATTTCTTTAGGTATTCTATAATGGCGTTAAAATAATAGAGAAGGCTCGCAGTCGTAGCGGATCAGTGCATGTGGAAGGTGTTACTTGGAACTGCGCCCCTGAATTTGATGCAGACCTCAACTCCGAAATCAGTTTTGTTGATGAAGGAGCATATTTAGTCCTACCTAAAATCAATTCTAGAGCTGGTGGGAGGTGAGCTTAATAATTTATATCGCCGATTTATAAAAGGATTTAAAAATAAGTGAATTTCTCAAATGTATATGTTTTATTTTCAGATGGCATATGGAATTTAAAACTATCACACAAAACGCCATGATTCTGTACAATCCCGGTGGCGGTCGTGGCTCTGACTTCTTAGCCGTTGAGATATTAGATGGAGTAGTCCGTGTGAAGATGGCGCGGGGCCAGATCGTCCACTCTCTGAGAATTAATGACGGTCAATGGCATAAGATGCATATTTCGTTTAATCCTGCACTTATCGAGGTTGGTGTCAGGAGCCATTATTAAGTTTTACTAGCTGACCCGACAGATGTTGTCCTGCCTTAATTATGAATATTGAATTCGAACAGTTTTTTTACATCCTCTTTCTCTTTTATAAATTGTTTATCTGCGTGTTTCGCACAATTCTGCCAATGTCAAGAGAATAAATTAATTTCTACATGTAAAATATAATGAAAGATAGTGTAGTCTGCACTAGATTTGATGATATTTGCAGCACGCATTCTGTCAATTCTCAATGTCAAATGTCATAAAGTTACATTAAAAAGTTATTATACAAAGCACAAAGGTTAGCTTAGAAATAATTTTATATGGAGGTTAATAATTCTTAAATTTTAACAAAATTCACACAACTATTTTTAATTTTTTCTTTCATATGAACATTGTATAATAAACACAACAAAAAAGAATTAGCGAAATCGGTCAAGCCGTTCACGTCTGATGGCATGACCATTTTTATATGTAGGTATAGATTAATAAAAACAGAACCATCCTGACAATGAGGTAGTGAATTTCATTCATTTCATATTCACTTTGGTGTGTTCCGAATAGACATTAGACATCAAAAATATTAAGCTGTGCAATTTTTATAAGGTTGATTCTGAGACCTAGTTTTTAATAAGATGTTTAAAGACACATGCGTTGTAACGGTTATGCTGCTTCAGTTTAATGACAATTTTAATGAACGTTGCGCGCCTGTTTTGACTTAAAAAAATACATTTAATTATGCTATGCATCCCGCAAGCTCGGGGGTTTCGTAAATTTTATATTACTAATTATTGTGTTTGTTGCTGTGCAAATAGATTTTAGCTAAATAGCCAGGCGAATTGCGCATTTGTACTAATATAAACAAATATATGTATAAACAGGAAACATTTGGTTGTTTATTTGCATTGAATAGGCTCTGAAACTACTGGACCGATTCTAAAAATTGTTACACCTACAATAAGCTAAATCAAGCGCTAAATGTGATATAGGATATAATTTACGCTGGCAGAGTCAGAGGAATACAGCTATTTATTATAGTTGATAAGAATTTATCAATTTTAAGAACCTGAGTAATTAATTAAATAAAAGTATGTAGTATAATAATTATGTACACCTATTGCAAGGAATGGTTAAACTACCCTAATTTTTTGAGTCTCTAATGATTACTCTTTAACTTGAGTAAGTCACATAAAATTTAATTCTTAAAAGATGTCTGTAGCCTAATGTGATAGAAAGCGATATGGCCTAATTTTTTGCATTGTTTCTGCTGAGCTGCAAAGCGAAACTATGTTACTATGTGATGTGATAGTTTATTGCAAGAAGCTTTATTGGTCAGATTTATTATTTATGTCTTGACGACGACTATGTATTTGGTGTTTTGTAATCTCACTTAATTAATAAAAAAAAAAACATTACAACCTGAAAGAGAATTGGTCGAACTTAAGCGAATTCGTGTTTGTTACTTAAGCGAATTCTTTACTAGCCTGTGTGGATTTACATTTAAGATATTTGGTCATTCAGCTAATCATTAACTTGGAATAAAGTAGTCCAATCATATTAATATTATGAATACAATAAAGGAATAAATGTGTTGGGTTTGTTTATTGTTAATCTGTACTAATTATGTGCTAACATAGCTACTACTCCAGTAGTTAAAATTTAATGAACAAATAAAAATCCAACGGACGAAGTTAAGCTGAATTTTCAAATGTACTTGTGGACCAATTGCCTCTATGTAGTCAAGTGGCTAACAACATGTGGCTGTTTATAGGAATGAAAAAAAACCAAGTCCTTATACATTAATCATGTCTTTTTATGTCCTACATACATACGCATGGATGTATGTCACAGTCACTTTAGTTCCGAAAGTACACTCCTATACATAATGAAACTGAAATGTTAAATTGGTCGTATGAAATCAATAAAAAAAGGTTGATAAAACTAAATATGAGCCCATTATAAATAAAAAGAAAATCGAATCTATAAATATCTTTTTGTGGTTTGCATATTCTTGACAATAAAATGTATTAACTATTTGAAGTGTGCACTTTGGAATTTGACTATTTTATTACATTTATATTGTAGAAAAAAAAAAAATGAAGGATTAGGAGACAAAATATTTGTCACATTATTAGTTTTGTTGCTAACAGCATTTATTGACATAATTAGCTTAATCCATACTTTTAGCCTAACTTCTTTATTCCACACACTTACCTACTTTAGGCTATCACCCCTCACAGACACCAGTTCCTCACAAAATCGACAAGCAGTCATCTTCTTTTTTTTTAATACACCAATATATTATTCTAAAAATCATTAGATGTTAAAAGAAACATTTGGTAATTTAATAAGTATTTCAGCTGTCTGTGGACAACGTGGCGATGAGTACGCGCATAGAAAGCGGTGGCACTAGATACTTGGACTTGTCAGACTCATTCTACCTCGGTGGTATAGAAACTGAGAAACGTCAACGAGCTTTCGCCAAAGGAATTAAAGCTGCTGATTCTAGTATCATGGTAAGTTTTATTATGAAACAGTTTGTGATATTTTTTGGTATATTATCAATATCTCTATTACATTTGGTCACCTATCTTGTGACCGTCTCTGGCGAAGATGGCTCATCCTTTGCATGAAAGACCGAATTGAATAGTCACATGCCGTCGTACTTCGCTTATAAATAGGTGTATGATATTATTATGAAAGTATATAACACTATGTAATAATCAACAAAATGTGAAAACTATATTGACCATGCCAGTAATCAAAGTAAAGTTATGATGATGAATACATGTATTCTTTTAACGTCGTGTATGGTGTAATTTTTTTCTGTGGAAGTACTTTGAAAGTTGGAAAGTGTCTTGGGCTAACATTTAATTATATTTAAATGTTGTTAGGGGTTGGTTCGTTTACATGTGGAGGGCTGACCGTTTCTGTAGGTTCAAGATATTGGTGGGTAAAGTAATGACAGTCATGACCGACTGACGAGTGACGAAAATGAGGCACAGAAACCAACGTTTAAATGTATTGTACCAGGGGTGCATAAAGGGCGTGGAGGTGGAGGAGCGGTTGTTCGGGTTGCCTAATGCAGCGGTGACGTACGGTGTGAGTCCACGCTGTGTATGGTGGTACCCGTGTGACGCGAGTCCTGGTAATCCGCCTTGTTTACCTCACGCCACCTGCCACCAACACGGTGTTGACCACTTCACGTGCAAGTGCGACTCAGATCTCTGCATCAACCCGGACTACGCCGAGAAGTATAAGGTTTGTATTGATTTATTATTTGTGATTGACCCCCTTGAAGTTATAAATTTCTAAATGTTAATATATATATATAACCAGCTAAATGTTAATATTTTTTAGAAATCAGTTTCTAAAACAGAATTGTTTTTGTACAGAATTATTTATGCGTCCGAAACTGGTTTCGATTACAGAATTTAAAATCTTTTGTAAATTCAATGTTTCTAATTAAGGTACGTACTTTAAATATCAGATAAAAGAAAATATTTTTATTTGCATTGATTATAATCTATCGCTTTGTTGAATTTTATCAAATTATACAATATATAACGTTGCGCAGGTGTTCTCTCGGTCCAGTAGTGAACTAGAACTGGTTGCTCTGTACCCGTTAACCGTCCAAGAGGGTGGTGTAGCAGTGATCACCACACAGAATATCGATGTCATATTAGATCATCACAAGTACGGCGTGAGACCTTCAGGAGTACTGTTGCACGTCGCCCAGTCACCACAGCACGGAAGAATCGCTATTGATTTGTCACTGCAGAGAAATACACCGCCGTTCACTAATTATATTGAAGGAGAGAAGTCGAAACAATTCTTCACACTTTTGGACTTGACGAGAGACAAGGTATTTTATAAATTGAAATTATATAAAGACTATGCATACAATTTACATGGAGTTCACGAACACATAGTAATATAGATTTATTTTTGAAGTCTCCTTACAGTATAGAAAAAATCAAATGTTATCTTTTAGAAAAATAAATTGACTGTTCTGTTTCATATTAGATTAAATACCAGATATTTTCTCAAGGCGGTTGAATTGCTCAAATACTATTTTTGTTAGTGGTGGTTAGGTCCGTTGCTATATTTAAATTTGAAAGTAAACTCATTAAATTTAATTTTACTTATAATGGAATAGTAAATACGCAAGATATTATTCTGTGTGATGAGAAAACATTTTTTATTTTCTGCAAGAAAATAGTTCAAGAAGAAAGGGGTCCTTTAGGAGTGTAGTTTACTACACTATCATCGTTATCGAATTTTATTTTCATTGCGAAGCACCAAATCTGCATCAGTCATATTGCTTACAGTATGTCAAGTAAATGTTTTGCGACTGAATTAAGCTTATTCTTGGGAAATTATATGTAAAAAAATAAGCCGTTTTTTGAGGTAGGAATAATGAGCAACTTGCCACTGTGACTAGTTCATAGTGAGTGTAGTGTCAATATTTATTACTAATAAGTGTTATATTATTAATGATAGGTCCGATACGTTCACGATGGCTCGGAGAATCACCAGGACGCCATAGTATTGGACATGGAGTTGATCCCGGAGACTAAGTTCACGCTGCCGAGTTACCTGCAGGGACGCAACACGTTCGTGCTGCACGTAAACGTGACGCCGGTCAACGACCCACCGGTACTCAACCTGCTGCCCGGGAAACTTCTCCGGCTGACGCAGGTGAGAATTCTTGGTAGCGAACTGTATTCCCTGACCTTAAAATTTGTGCAGTTGTATGGAAGTGGTGAAGTATGGCAAATTATAAACCAGATTAGAAGAAGTGAGCTTCAATGCTCAAAAGTAATTAAAACTACATTTTTTTATGAATCACGTTTTAATAATTAGTATGAAATTATTCACGCTAACAAATGCACATAGCTTATAATTTTAATACTAAAGTTAATTAAGATAAATCATTTGTGTACATATTTTAATATAAATGAATGAAAATATTCTTTAAATAAATTTTTACCCACATTCAATCAAAGATTCTTTTGAAATTATATTTAGAAGACTATTTAAATTATATTTGTACAATGTTTAAACAGTGTTTTTTCTGAAAAATTTGTATTCTAATTTTGATTGTATTAAGCGATGTACTACACAGTAACACATAGGTATTTAAATTTAACTATTCAATGATAATGAAAAATAGTTTCACATTATCATTGAATAGTTAAATTTTAAAGTTAATCAACCTGCCACCTAGTCATCGCGTTTGGTTTCTTTCTTATGTATACTCGTAATTTACTGCAGGACCAATTCGCACACATTTATATTTAAGTAATGCAATGTAATGGCAGACGTTTTTTCAAATAAGGAAATTAAAAATAAATTTAGGCATTGAGTGTATTATAAAGTTCTAGTGTAATTAATTGCTAGTTGACTGATCATCGTCAGCTTATTGACATTCAGGACATTCCCTGTTGACTGTTGGCGCGCATGTCTCCTATATAGAAAAAATAAGGAGAACATACTGGCCCACTGCAGATTGGTGGCTGATTGAAGTTATAAATATAAACACTTAAAGTTTTATGCGTGAACACCTCCATATATTTCCCTTGATTATAGTGAAAGTGGTATTGCGAGGCGTTACTACGTTGTAATATAATTTCGAAAATACTAATCTTTTTGAACTAGCTATTAATACATACAGGTTTATTAAAAAATAGTTAGAACTAATTGAGTTGCATTGATTTTTTAATTACCATTATTTACCAAATATTTTATATACTAAACGAAATTACCATCTTGCATGATTTGAAATTGGTTTAGTTAACATTTGTTTTGTATTTAGTGATTCTATTAGCAGTTGTAATTATTAACATAAAAATGTTGTTGCAATCTCCTTGTTTTTTGTTTTTTCCTATATATTCTAGTGAGCATGTTATATGTAGATCACTAATTGTACCAATTATTTTGATCTTGATGCATTAAAGTTCATGATAATTTTAATTTTCAGAGTGTGCGCAGCGCTTCAATTATTTTACATGATTTGCTTTTAAGTAGTTGCATGTTATGTTTTACCACATATTCAGTCAAGAGCACCAGGCTTTAACATTAGTGTGATGTGTGAGTATACTAAAATATTTTAATATTTATTTAATTAGAGCATAAAATTACTTTTATATATAAGTTCATTTTGACAACATTATTTGTATTTTTACATTGTTGCATTAGAACTGACGTGAAAAAATAAATAAAACAAATTATTTATTCATCAAAAAGCAGGCGACCAGGCATTAAAAACTCAACTTACTATATTTGTAGTGGCTATCTTTTATATCAACAAAAATTGTTTTTTGTCTTCGAAAGACATACACGCAATTTTTTTTATTTATGCTCAAACATTTGGGCTTTCTATTAGCTCCTTCAGTGCTACAAAGTTTATTAAAAATCGGTTTACTATAAAACTCAAAAGTACAACAAATTAATAAGTTTTTATATAATTAAATGCATTTGTGGGAATTCTCGCTTTCACTGACAGTCAACTTGATTTGGATTTTATAATGAGAACCCGAGAACTTGCCAATGTATGAATTTCTGTTTTTTTTTTGTTTATCACTTCATATTCCCATCAACAAATAACGCACTGATATTTGTCATTTATAAAACGGGCAAATATTTGTTTTCTGGACAACATTGAGATATAATATTGAGAATTAAAGACGTTTTGAAAGGTATGAAACTTTTTGAAAATATATAAAATTTAAAATATAAGGGACACCTTAGTAAGCAGTAGGCGAATTAAGCAGAAGAATAGAATTTCTCATCTCATGATGTGATCAATTATGTCTAATTGTGTTTCATGATCTGACCAGTATAATGCTTTTTTTTTGGTTTATCTTGTTATTATTCTTAATACAAAATGCTTAAAAAATCCACTTGGTCCCTGGCACCCTGAGATGGGAATCGAACTCACGACCTTTCGCAATCCGGGCGACTGCTCTGACCACTGAGCTAACCAGGACCTAACATGACTGACGAATCTTTCAAGCGCTTGTTACTTTTCGCTACTACAGAGCGTATTCTCATCAACGTTCAGGCAGGCATTTTGTATTAAGAATAATTTTCAGTATGGCATTGTGAATGCAAAATTAATATAAAATATAATTATCTTGTTATGTTTTTTCGATAGTTTTGCTTATACTATCGCAATGTTGTTAAACTATATCATGACAGCGCACAAACGATAATTTGACTGCCATCTTGGGCGTTAATGATAACTTAGCTAAGCATGCAGAGTCAACTAAATTAAACAATACCTATAAAACATCAGTTTAATCAACTGCTTAAAACAGTGGCAAGATTTGATTAACAATTTGCAAGTTTTTAATAAATAACTTACACTTTAATAAATAATAACATTTTAAATTGGTTGAAAGAAAGTAAATTCTGGAAAACGTTAGAAGCACGAATGATTTTTCACATTTTGTTAACTTTCCGATTCGATCCAAAATGTTGTGATAACATTCCGCTTATTTATAAAGACACTTATCTGCACTATAAGGCGTTTAAAATGAAACAATCCTCATTCAATAATGTAACAAATGTAAGGTATTATAAGATCAATATTGTAGCGTTTGACAGCATAATTTTAGTCATGTGTAAGGCTATATATACACATATTATAAAGATCAAAGATTTGATTATTTGTTTGCATCGAATAGTCTTTGAAACTACTAGACTGATTGTAAAATTCTTTACTCGGGTGACATAGGCTAGCTAGCTTGTTCGTATTGTTGTTGATACGTTTTTGATCTGGCTGGATCATATCATGATAAGGTCACTTTCAGATGGCCATATCATGAAATATAATTATTCATCCACATATAAGTACTATAATATAGTGACATTTGTTTTTGTAGGGAACCCGCAAAGTGATCTCATCAGATATCTTGAAAGCCGAAGACCCTGACACACCTCCAGAAGATCTTCTTTATACAGTGCTGCATGGGAATAAAAATGAAATTAACAGGTACTTTACTTTAAAATACGCTGACTATTCACCAGTATTATATTCAGCGCGTTAATACTTTTGATTGAAGTCACTCAGACCCTCGCTTCCAAGACCTCTATAGGGTATGAGATATCGGGTTAAGCTTTGATGAATATGAAGACTATCCCTTAGTTATGAACACACTGTTGACAACACTGCCACATTAAAAATAGTAAAGTGGTGGCTTTTTCCGTTTCCGCTCTGTCTCCCTCACCAACCGTGCTTGTGTGTAATGTACGCATTTTTTGAATTATCGTCAAAATAATTAGTTACTGTGCAACAACGAAGGTTTCTTCGAATACAATTATAAGTCAACTGCTCAACTCTCTCCAACACTCACTTAAGAGTGTGGAAGAGATATAGCAACCGCGCTCCCGTGATGTGGGAGTGCATTGTTTTAGATGATTATGAGATAAAAGCTTTTAATCTAAAGATTATAACGTTCCAGTAGTCATCATTTTTCTAGTCTCTGAATCTCGGGAAAAAATTACGCTACAAACGACCATTTGTGTGGATAACAATCCTGATTCTTCTACTTCCTAATGCTAAAGATGTCTACCGCCCCGACGGCTCTCTTTTACGTGCCTTTTGTCCACCTAACACATAAGTAAACTGAAAATATAATAAAGATCACTTTTATTTAAAAATGCGATGTTGTGTAAGAACTGCGAGTTACTTGAAGGTTTTTAAAGTTCTACGAACAGAAACATGCGTGTGTTGTTTTTTGTTACAGTGGTCATATCGAGATGTCTGGACAGCCCGTGGACTCGTTCACACAACAAGATATCGACGCTGGTGTGATATCGTTTGTGCACGGCGCATCTAATGACAAACAACTAAACAGAACTTCGCTGCGAATTACACTCCAGGTGTGATTTCCTAATATGGATTATTGTTAGATGTTAGGTTGGAATAAATAAGTTGATTGACTGGAACTTTACGTTTTTCTAACGTTTCGGACCTTTTTTAGGCAAGCCCTCGGAAACAGAAATCAACATCGCATAAAGTGAAGTCTGTTTGTTGATTTCCTTTCAACGGCTACCAACTTACAATATTTATTATTGTTCCTATAAGAAAAAACATTATTAACGAATAACCTACATTCAAAATCTGATTTTCAGACTTATATCCAAAATTTTATTATGAAAAATTCAGAATATTACTACCTAACAATATAATTTACTATGTTTCCTATTAAAATAAAACGTAAATATTAATAATACTGTTTTGTGATCATGAAAAATTAGAAAAATTAGTTAATTCATGGAATACTTTGCTTTAAAAGTGGGAGAGCCACGCTTCGGCATGAATGGGCCGGCTCGACCGGAGTGATACCACGGCCTCACAGAAAACCGACGTGAAGCAACGCTTGCGTTGTGTTTCGTCGTGTGAGTGAGGGTACCGGAGGCCCAACCCCTCCCTATTCCCTTCCCTCTACCCCTCAACCCTTCCCTCCAAGGCCGGCAGCGCGCTTGTAACCCCTCTGGTGTTGCAGGTGTCCATGGGCGACGGTAATCACTTACCATCAGGTGATCCGTCTGCTCGTCTGCCCCCTATCCCATAAAAAAAAATTACTATTAAATATCTGAGAGTCTTAGACGATTCTATTTTATTTTCATAAGTAAACAGAATGTTTTTTAATATAGTTATTTTTATCTAATTTATTCCATCGTCCAGGTATCTGACGGTATAGAGACCAGTGGACCGGGCATCCTCCGTATATCAATAGTGCCGCTACAAGTTCGTTTGGTGAACAACACAGGTCTACAGTTGGTGCACAACTCGTATGCTATCATCACCGCTGACAACTTGACCTTTGCCACTAACGCTGATGACACCAATGTTCACGTCAAGTGAGTCTTGATAATGTTTTAACGGTTTTTTATACGATCGATCGCCGATACTGTGTGTATAATTATATCGTTTAAATATAATTAATGTAAACATAAAAGGCTAGTGTGTATTTTTTTTTTGTATTTTATAAATAAATAGTCCATTAATATCAAAGAAATAATGTATCAGTAACAGCATGTCGGCGATTAATAGTTTCAAAGAGACGGTCGAAAATGTTCCCTACAAATTCAAGGCACTAAGAGACGCCACACAGTGCTACGGTAGCGAAAACCGTATGGGTGTCTGGGCTATCTTTGTAATATATTTGTAATTTATGCGTTTATGTTTAAAATTATTAGGTACTAGCTTTCGCCAGCGGCTTCGCCCGCGTGGTCCCTAGAGAAATGTTTAGTGGGATAAAAAGTATCCTATTATCTAAGTAAGCTAATACCCTATATGTATACCAAATTTCATCAAAATCCGTTCAGTAGTTTCGGCGTGATTGACTTACAAACATCCAAACATCTAAACATCCAAACAAAGAAACGTTAACATTTATAATATTAATAAGATTTTCACTTGTAAGACACAAGCCTTACTGGAATGGGCGTATCGATCGAGAAATTTCCATTAAAATTGTTACAAGCATTTGTTTTTTTTTGTTACAAATCGAATATTATGCTATTAGTTCTTAAACCTATGGCCGGTTATCTTGTATTGAAAGGAATCTCAAAGAAACTCGGCAAGGTTTGCCTTTTTTTGTATTTTATTCTATAAAAAAATTACAATGGAATAGAATAATGAAAAATTATATAGTCTAGAGCAGGCTTATACCCACAGAACACAGAAAGACGTTAGTAGGGCCTTGTGGGCGTGGCACTGGAGCCACGATCCTAGACAAATGTACAGGATCGTGACTTCACCACGCGATCGCGATGTTTAGTCATTCACGAACGCGCGCGTTGTAAGTACTGTGAAACGCGCCACTAAAAGTGTTAAAAATGCCGACTTTCGCAGTTATTAATTGCAAAACAAGAAGCCCATCCTCAAGTAGGTCTAAAGGAAGGATTTCTTTCCATTATTAAGTAGAACACTTCTTAAATTTAGTATTTTTAGTCGAAAATCGTGAAATGTTATCAAAAGTGTGAATCACAAAAAATATTTCCAAGAAAATATACATTGCTGAAGAAGTGCGCATATTTATTACATTGCGTCGTACTAAGCACGTAATGTAATGAATATTGCGAAATTACCGTTTTAAATAGCAACGTAATAGATTACGGTAGATGGGTAGTGAAGTGCCTGGAAACATTTAATCGATTCTTGGTATGTTAGGTAGTAAAAACTAAATAAAAGT